GGCGGGAACCCCACAGGTCACCAGCCTGTACATGCAGTGGGTCATCCTAATGCCCAGCTCACAGGGACTCCCCTCCACCCCAACCTCCCAGGTAGCTGCCATCTCCGGTGGAACGCCACTCCCTTCCGAGTGTCACCCCCAGAGGGACCCCTCCCCGGGGAAGGCGCCCTGGAGACCTGCGAGGCACCCTGTGCTGGAGGAGCCGGGCAACGCTGGGTCCCGTTCAGAGGAGGGAGTGTAGCCAACCCTCCCTCCGGCCACCCTTCCCGGCTGGCACTGTACGTAGGTACTAGTCTGAGGGGGTGGGAGGGAGCAATGGCTTTTTCATCAGTTGAGCCGGGTGGGTCCAGTGGGAGGGGGCACGCTGCAGAGAGAGAGGCGTAGATGGTGCAGGCACTGCCCCTTCTGCTCCCTCCCACCCCCGCAGACTAGTGGAGGCTGGGACCTCAGAGGGGAGAGGGTTAGACAGGCGGGGCCAAGAGTGGCCTGGAGGGAGGGTTGGCCACATCCCCCTCCTCTGAACGGGACCCAGCATTCTCCCGCTCCTCCAGCACAGGGTGCCTCGAAGGTCTCCAGGGCGCCTTCCCTAGTGAGGGGTCCCTTTGGGGGTGACACTCTGAAGGGGTGGAATTCTACTGGAGATGGAGGGGCATCCCTGTGAGCTGGGCATTAGGATGACCCCCTGCATGTACAGGCTGGTGACCTTAGGGTTCCCGCCTGGGGTGCTGCTCTCAGGCATGAAAGGGAAGGCGTGCTTACCCCCCAGAAGCGCGGACACCCTGTTCTAATGGTCCCCTTCCCGCTGCTCATCCTCCCCAAGGAGGGGATGAACCTCCGATGGGTTATGCATTTAGGGCCGTGGTCGGCAAACTGCGGCTCGAGAGCCACGTGCAGCTCTTTGGCCCCTTGAGTGTGGCGCTTCCACAAAACACCACGGCCTGGGCGAGTCTATGTTGAAGAAGTGGCGTTAGAAGAAGTTTAAGTTTAAAAAATTGGTCTCTCAGAAGAAACTCCAATCGTTGTCCTGCTGATATTTGGCTCTGTGGACGAATGAGTTTGCCGACCACTGACTTGGGGCATTTGCTTTCATTATTCTATGGATTCGTCTCACCTGCGGGACTGGAGAAGCACAAGGCCGGTCTCTCATTTCCTCCAAGCCTGAGCCGGCAAAGAGGTCAAGTTCACAGAGAAAACACTTCTCCCCAAAGTGTTCACTATTCTCCCCCCTTCCCCTCCTAGGCATCCATCCCTAAGGCAGGAGCAGGCCGAGGCAACCCTCTGCCCCAAAGACAGGTTCTAGAAACACCTTCTGAAGCTCTCCGAGGTCCCCTGTGAGCCATGGCAGTGACTGAGGCGCTATCAGAGCGGCGAGTGTCTGTAGCCTGGGGTCATCGAGACCCTTCCCCACGGGCCCTCCGGGGCCTGGACCGGCCATTCATGCACAAACATCTTCCGTCATCCCCACCGTGACCCCAGTCTACAGGTGAGCACGCTGCGGCCTGGCAAGGTGAAGTACCTTGTTCAAGGCCACACAGCTGGTAAATAGCCGACACAAGAGGTGCCAGCCCAGCCCACAGCCCTGCCATGGGGCCACCCCCTTTTGCAACGGGACAAGCACTGGCCTCGAGTCTGAGAATCCAGCTGGGAGCCAGGTGGGCTCTCCCCTGGGCCCTCAGCTTCCTCACTTTCTAAACCAGGAGGGGGCAGGGGTAAGGGCCACCCTCCCACTGCCAGGGCAAGGGGTTCTGGGTGGGGGCAGGAAGGGACTAAAGAATGAAAAAAAAAAAATTAACTGATAGCTAACCAGGTTCTCTCTCGCAGCAACTTCTATTTCCATTTCCCCTAAATGGGGCAACTCCGGGCACGAGAAAAGCACCCAGCTGGGTGAGGAGTTGCTCTTTAACCCCGTGACAGAGAACAAGCCTTCTGAGTCTCTGAGGGTTTTCTGGAAGTCACATGTCCTTTTCACTTTCACCCATTAAAACCGAAGCTCGCACTCAGCAGCGAGAGAAGCTTTGGGCGCGGAGGCGGCCCGCAGCCCGCGCTCAGGCTGGGTCTCAGGCCTGCGCCGGAGGTCGTGGCTCTCGGGAAGTTGCGGGTTTGGGTTCACACCTTGGAAGGAAGAGAGAGAGAGACTGGGGAAAGGTCACAAGGAGCCAACAGAGAGAGCTCAATGCCTGTCTGAGCTCAGCTCCACCCCCTGTGGGCCTGGGGGTGGGGCGCAGCGCATCCCGAAGGGAGATCCTGGCCAGGTGGAGCCTGAGGCCTGGATGCGACCCCTCCGCACACCTGCTTCCTCCCCGGGCCTCCCTCCCTCCCTGCCGGCTCCGCCAGGTGGACGCCAAACCAGCCCTGGCACGGCCAGAGCAAGGACTCCCCTGGGAGAGGCGTCTGCTAAGCTCTTCGAACTCCATGCAACAGCTGCTATGGTAATGGTCATACATTCTTTTTTCCCCCCAAATATATTTTATTGATTTTTCACAGAGAGGAAGGGAGAGGGATAGAAAGCTAGAAACATCACAATGAGAGAGAAACATCGACCAGCTGCCTCCTGCACGCCCCCCGCCGGGGATGTGCCCGCAACCAAGGTACATGTCCTTGACAGGAATCGAACCTGGGACCCTTCAGTCCGTAGACCCGACGCTCTATCCACTGAGCCAAACCAGTTTCGGCAACAGCTGCTATTTTAATGGTCATATATTCTTACAGGTTCCCCCCAGTCCCCTGGCCCCCATGCCTGTGGGATCCGTGCTAAGTTTGCCGAATACAGAGGAGACCCCGTGCCCAGGCCAAGTCGAGGGTCTGTGGTGTGTGTGTGTGTGTGTGTGTGTGTGTACGCCTACGTTTTTCAGGAGCGAGGATATTTGCATACCATATCTTTGCAGATACCAGACAAACAGGAAGTTTCAGAACCTATGCCATTTCCTTTCACTGTGAATCAGCAGCCTCTCTTGCTCATAGAGAAAAGATGAGAATCGCAAGCCGGGGCGCTGGGAGGTGAGGTTCGGAGAGGAGCTCAGAGGCCTCCCAAGGCGTCTTCGTGGCGGGGGACTTCCCGGGACCCACCTCTCCCTGCCCTCCCCTCGCCACCCACCCGGCTCCCTAGAGCGCTTCAGGAGCCGTTCGCATGCCAGCCCTGACCTCATGCCAAACACAGTCTCCACCACACAACCGGTTACACCAATGCTGAGAACCAGGCCCGGCTGGGAGGCCGGGCAGGCCCGCACCTCCTGGTTCCCACGCCAGAGTTGTATCACAGAGGGACACTGCAGGGTAACCAGCACCCCACACTGGGCCCCAGAGTACCTGGGGTGGGACCCCAGTGCCTGCTACATGCAAACCTGCTCCCTGTCAGTGCTGCAGGCTAGGGGGTCATGGTTCCTGGCACAGCCTCCAGCGGAGGGACATGCAGAGAAGTGGTGGCTCAGGACAGACCCAGTCTCAGTCTCGCCCAGGTGACTCAGGCCCCCTTGCCTCGCTGCTCAGCAGAAAGTCCCAGAAGTGCTGGGGAAGGGCTAGGACCTTGGTTTTACCTGCTCAGAGCACATCGCAGTGCCTCCCTCTGCTCCTCCCAGGCGGGGGCTGCCTTCCCCGGAACGCTCCCCGCAAATGTTTATCACAGCGACCAGTTCCTGGTGGCCCAGGCACTGAGCACCCATGTACGGTACAAGCTGAGCCCGTGTGGCTAACATGTCACACGCTGGGGCCCCTGTGCTGTCTGGAAGGAACAATCCAGAGAAGTTTATTGGGCGCGAACCACGGAACGGGTTCTGTGTCAGGGGCCAGAGGCCCTGCCCCTCATGGTACTCTCGTTGGACCAGTTTGTGGTTTTTAAAAAATATTTTATTTATTGATTGATTTTAGAGAGGAAGGGAGAAGGAGACGAAAACATCAATGATGAGAGAGAATCACTGATCGGCTGCCTCTTGCACACCCCCACTAGGGATCGAGCCTGCAACCCGAGCATGTGGAATCAAATCGTGACCTCCTGGGTCATAGGTTGACACTCAACCACTGAGCCACGCTGGCCGGGCAGGGACCAATTTTTACAAAAGTTTCCTGAGGTGTCCGGAGCGGGAAGCAGCTCTCCACGGCTGCAGGAACGTAAGGCCGCATCCAGCTGCCCAGAGACCCAGGCCACCTCTGCCCCAGGGAGGCCGGCTGGAGCCCGTATCTGCTACGAGCCAGCACAGCTGGGCTTTGACTGCCTGATGGGCCCCCAGCGGTGAGGATGCAAAGCAGCCGCCTCTCCTGAGGTCCAGCAGTCCCAGCTGTGCACGGGCCGCATGTTTACTGGTGTAGGGTCCTGGCCGGTGACCTCATAAAAGATGCTCCCGCCGGAGGAGCGTGGAAGCCGCCCAGGGAGGGCGATGGCTGTGCCGCAGAGACGGCTCTGGGAGTGTAACCGAGGCGACGGCTGCCCATCGGAGCCAAAGGTCCAGTGCAGACCCAAATGCGATTTCCCCGTGACTGTTTTATCCTAGGTCTTTTATTAGTGCTGCGGGCTTCATGAATAGAATCCAGCACGAAATCAAACAAGGGTTTTATTTTTTTGAGCATCTACCTCTGTCCTTTGCTATGTCATGACAATTAACAATCTATACTAATAATAGAGGAATATGCAACTTGTGTAGGATGCCATCACAGTAATGACCGAACAGCAGGCCGTCTAGGGCGACAAGGCCAGCAGGGCGGGTAGTGAGGAACGACCAAACGACAGCAGGCTGCATGTGGTGACCAGGCCGGCAGGTGGGGGCAGTTGGGGGTGACTAGGATGGCATGGTGGCAATTAGGGGTTATCAGGTTGGTGGCGGCAGGGGGCAGGGAGCAGTTAAAGGTGATCAGGCAGGCAGGCAGGTGAGCAGTTAGGAGCAAGCTGTCCCAGATTGTGAGAGGGCAGTTGGGCATCCCCTGATGGGTCCCAGATTGGAGAGGGTGCAGGTTGGGCTGAGGGGACCCCCTCCCCAATGCACAAATTCTGTGCACTGGGCCTCTAGTATAACATGACATTGTAACCATAAAGCTACCATTTCTTGTCTGTAAACTCTACTCCTGTCTCTAGTAGGTATTTATATATTCTCTTGTTTGATGTATAATTGGTCAAAAACCCCTGAGGAAGAAATTATAATAGCAATAATTATTATAATTATACTTTTAATAATAATGAATTATTATGAACAATAATAAAATAAATTCTATTTTAATAAATATAACATTTATTAAATGTTTCAACATGCCAGGCATGGTGCTCATTGTCTTATAACCAGCATCTCATTTGCTCCCTCCAAGAGTCCCGTAAAATAAATACTATTACTACCCCATTTTACAGATGAGTAAGGGGAGACCTGGGACGCCAGCTCAGATCTGCTGCTCCAGAGCCTACAAGCTTTCCCACTGCACCATCCAGCCTCCCTTCTCAGCCCTGCTTCTTTGCACTGGTCTCCTGCCAGGGGAAGCAAGGGCCAAGGGGCTGAGGAACCATGACCAGTAGACATGTGGGCAGCTGGATGGCCAACGTCCAGAATGCAATGCCCCCTGGCATGCCCAGCAGACCGGAATTCTGGGGCTGGCTGGCTTCCCGCTCCTCCCTGCCAATCAGTGCAGACCTGTGGTCATTTCCTCGTTAGCACAACGAAATACTCAGGATGACTCTGAGCTCTGGATTAGCCACTCAAACAATTTTATTTACTTTGGGGGCCGAAACAGAGGACGCAGGACGGAAAAAGATTAGCAGGAAGTGCAGAGTTCCCATATAATCTCTCCTCCCCCTCCCCCACTTTCTTTCCCCTTTTAGTAACACCTTCATTTGACTTTGGATGTTTTGTGTCTTCAGGTGAGTGCTTAAGTTGTTCAGCGGATTTGCAACTCTTCCAATAAGAGTAAGAGGCCTCCCAAGGACACAGCTCTACCAGTCCAGCCGCCCCTCCATCTTGCCTCTCTGCCCCTCCATCCTTCCCCGCTCTCTGGCACGTGGACCTGCTCAGACCCACCACACTGGGCTTCACAACCTTCTCCAGGCAGAGAAGTGATTCCATGGCTTTTATGTTTCCCCTGTTTTCCAGTTCTAAATTCAAACTTGTTGTGGTAGGCTGCATTCAGGTGTTTACTCTATGCCACCATCTTGGTTTCTCCCTGATTCTATGGCTTTTAGAACCAGGTACAATTCAGGTCTTGCTGAGTGTACACAACCATCTTGTTTACGTCAAGCCAAATCGTTTAGAATGTCAAAATCATTTGTAAGTAAAATTTTGGAATGATTCTGGAATATGATTGAACTCATTGTCGCACATGATTAGATTCTTGAATTTTTAAGTCATTTGCTTTCTTTCTCTTTCTGAATGTTGTCTTTCTTATTGAATTGCTCCTTCCTCTTTTTTTTTAATATATTTTTTTATTGATTTCAGAGAGGAAGGGAGAGGGAGAGAGACAGAAACATCAATGATGAGAGAGAATCGTTGATTGGCTGCCTCTTGCATGCCCCTCACCAGGGATTGAGTCTACAACCCTGGCATGTGCCTTTGACCGGATTTGAACCTGGGACCCCTCAGTCTGCAGGCCGATGCTCTATCCAGTGAGCCAAACCGGCCAGGGCGCTCCTTCCTCTTCTTGGCGTACAAACCTCTGCTTGGGAAAATCACAGTTTTATTGGCTCACCAGAGCCGGGTGCAGCCTTATTTGCCTTTGTAACACCTGAGTAAATATTTATTAAGTGACTATTTTGGAAAAACTTGTCTTTTTCCCTCTCCAGTTTGAACATGTCTTTCCACTGAGTCAACCTTTACTGATATGTACCCAGGCGTGGCGTTGGAATATCATTACATATGATTTAATACATATTTAAATGTTCTGTTTAATTCTCTGGGTCACAGAGTCTTGGAGGAAATGATCAAGGGCATGCGTTCAACCTCCAGGGCGTAATCTCGGGGTTCCGAGCCCCCACATCCTCAGCCTTTTTTACAAAGTCCGCAGCCTGTCGCTGCTGCTGGTGGTGGGGTCCTTAACACACTGCCCTGTGGGGCCTCCCATAGGCCAGCTGCTTCTGATCTGCCTTCACCGCAGTGCCTTCTGGGAACCAATTTATAGAGGATGCCCCTGGTACCGCAGCCCTCTGTAAGCTGACGGTTGCTCCGTGGGCTTTATATATATATATATTATTGTTTTTTTACAGAGAGGAAGGGAGAGGAATAGAGAGCTAGAAACGGAAGGGAGAGGAATAGAGAGCTAGAAACACTGATGAAAGAGAAACATTGACCAGCTGCCTCCTGCAAAACCTCCCCACCCCCCACTGGGGATATGCCCATAGCCAATGTACATGCCCTTGACCAGAATCGAACCTGGGACCTTTCAGTCTGCAGACCACAGACCAACGCTCTATCCACTGAGCCAAACCGGTTTTGGCTCATTTATTTACTTTTTATTGATGTAACTTTAGTTAATAACATATGAATTTCAGGTATGCAGCGTTGAATGTGGTATCAGTACACGGCATGCTTACCACCAAAAGTCTGGTTTCCATCCGTGACCGTATGTTTGACTCCCTTCACCCCTCTGGCCTCCCCTACCTCCCTGCTCCTCTGGTAGCCACCCTCCCATTGCCCACCTGCATCTACACATTTGTTTTTGTTTCATTACGTTGGTTCCCTTTTCATTTTTTTTTTTTTTTTACACTGCGTACGGCCGAAAGCATACTGTCTCTGTCCTATTCTGTGTGACTTATTTCACTTACTCTAATACTCTCAAGCTTCATTCATATTCAGAGTGTCGCCAATGGCCGAGTAATATTCCATTGCATGCAAATAAATACCAAAGCTGGGTTTTCCCTCTTACCAAGCTCTCAAAGTAAGACTGTTGTGTCTCATTTGTTTAGCTGGCTTGTTCGATTCACCTGTGGCTCCTTCCTCGGAAAGATCCTAATTTCCGGAGAGCATTTTGAATGACTCTCACCCTCCAAGTCTCTCCTACTACTGTCCCTGGTGTGGCCCGCGAAGAGCCAGGCTCCATGAGGGGGGCAGCTCACCCCGCCCTGCTTTGTTCAGGAGGCCCACATCTGCCGTCCCAGGTGGTAACCATCAGCTCCAGTGTCTTCTGCACCTTTCTCCAGAAGTCCCGGGAGTGAGCTCTCACGTAGAAAGCGAAGTTTCTGCCGCCCTCCCTCCCATTCCAGAATTCCTGTGGTGGGCATGCTGAATCAGCCCTGCTTTCATGAGTGTAGGCCGAACCTCTGCTAACAACCGGACCCTAAAAGTGCATCGACTCAAATACAATGGAAGGGTATTTCTAATTAAGTAACATTCCAGGGTGGGAGTCCCAGGTGTTTCCGTGCTTCCTGGTGATTCAGTGACGCAGGCTCCTTCCAGTTTTTTTTTTTTTTTTTTTTAAATATATTTTATTGATTTTGTACAGAGAGGGAGAGAGATAGTTAGAAACATTGATGAGAGAGAGTCATCAATCAGCTGCCTCTTGCACACCTCCTACTGGGGATATGCCCACAACCAAGGTACATGCCCTTGACCGGAATCGAACCTGGGACCTTTCAGTCCCCAAGCCGACGCTCTATCCATTGAGCCAAACCAGTTTTGGCTCCTTCCAGTTTTGGCTCCATCATCCCCATGGGCCTTGAGCCAGTGAGAGGGGAGCAACAACGTGGAGGGAGCAGGCTGCTACCTTAAAAGCTCCCCCCATTCCATTGGCTGGAAGTCAGTCTTACAGCTGCTCCTACTTGCAAGAGGGGCTGGGAAATATTGCCTCACTCTCACCCAGCCAGAGGGAGAGATGGGTTTTGGTGGAAAGCCCACAGCCCCTACCACAGATGCAAGTTCATTCCCCCGCCCCACCCCCCTTACCTTCCTGCTCTCACCGCATTTGTCACCTTTGCCATGTGACATATTGAAAATTTTATAACTCGGGAATGAATGCAATCAAGAGATAGCCACCCACTGCTTCTGAGGAACAGATAATAGAATTTGCTCACCGAGGACTAATCCTGGCTGTCACAGGGACACACACCAGGTCTCAGCTCTGGTCTGCACCAGTGTTCTCTGTGTTGTTATTTTGTTTGCTTCAAAATTGATTGTCCATGCTTGTTATTCATTATCTCCAGGCCTCACCAACACAGACCAGCCCCAGAGGAAATGAGAACCGAACATTAGCAGACATCTTCCCTGAGCACAAATACATTTCAGAGCTTTGAGCTTGTGATATTAATCTTTGGATACGTTCCATGCAGACACATTTGCCTTAGTGATATTGCTAATGGAAAACAAGACCAGACTTGGGGTATAGTTCTTGATACCAGGGTCCTGTGTGCCTTACCCCCAACTCCAGTTGAGGCTGGCTCGGCCCATCTGGGAAGGAACCATAGAAGCTAAGTTGACTTAGGGGAGCATTGGATATTTATTGGTTATTTATTGGATACTAGAGGCCTGGTGCACGAAATCATGCACAGGTGGGGTCCCTTGGCCTGGTTCAGATAGGGTCAGTTTCTTCTTCCATGTGTCACCCCCTCTACCTCCCCAGTTTCTGCTTGATTATGGTCACGATTTGATGGCTTCACATAGTTGCTTTCTATTCTTTGTTCAGAGTTTATCATTGTCATCTGTGTGACATCTGTATGAGCGTTAGTCCAATATGAACTATTATACCATTTTTGAAAAATAGAACTCTATCTCAAGTACTTTTACTACTTTTAGAGACCATCACTGGGCAAGTTTTTGGATTTTTTTTTTTTCTGGCAAGCCTGTAAAATGCAGTGGTAGTTAAGATCCGAGACTCTGCAGCTAAACTTCTTGGGTTCAGTTCCCTTCTCTGACGTGATGTGACTTTATGCAAAATACTTGCCTTTACTGTGCCTTATTTTCATCACCTTTAAAAATGGGGATAAATCCAAAGTATCTATTGGATTTGCTGTGACGTTCAAATAAAATAACATGTATAGAGCATGGAAGAATGCCTGTTCACGGTAAATGATAGGTAAGCCAGCTTTGCTGGGTTTTATTGGCATTCTTTCACTTCTCATCTCAGTAAATTTTTTGGTGCACAGGGTTTGGGGCAAAGTTAGCACCCCCAAAGGTATGCAAATTGAAGATGCCAAACTATAAATAGAGGTCAAAGGTTATGGCTCTGGGCTTCCTGTTCTTTGCTAATTTAATCCGTTGTCATCTTCCGCTGGCCACCCATTACCCTTACTCTTCCAATAAAATGAACTGGCCTACAAAGTTTACCACAAGTTTCATTCACTGGGCTGGGAGGACCCCCATGCCGCTTGCTAATAAGAAATCCTGTTCTGAAGCTTTTCTGTCCTTCCTCTTGGAAGGGCTACAGCGTTTGCAGGGTCTAGATTAGAAAGCCTGTTCGCATACATGCTTTTCTCCTTGGTCACATAACCCAGCCTTGAGTTCACATTCTGAACCAGCGACTCCTTCTACCTGGTTTGGTTTATTATTAACAATTTCCTTTAAACTTTAAACCTTGGCTGGTGCAGCTGGACGTGGGCAAGCAGTGAGAGCTGGTGTTGCCGACCGCTCAGCCCTGCCCAAGGGGAAGATACTGGCACTTGCTCAGCTCATATTTTCTCTCTCCAGCTCCCCCATCCCCACAAATCAACGTTTCAAAGAGCCACAATGGTTGGTTTCCCTTTAAAAAATATCCCCTGAGGAGGCTGTGAGAGAAGGCTGACTTTGAAGAGGGTTTAGTTCCATCAGGGTTACAAAGCTGGCCTGAAGTCCGAAGGAGATGTATTTTTTTTTTTTTAAACATTGGAATCCAAATACTTTTAAGCAGGACAGATACCACCAATCTCTATTATGTGTGTTTTTTTAAATATATTTTTATTGATTTCAGAGAGGAAGGGAGAGGGAGAGAGATAGAAACGTCAATGATGAGAGAGGATCATTGATTGGCTGCCTCCTGTACGCCCCCATTGGGGATTGAGTCCGGAACCCATGCCTTGACAGGGAATCAAACCATGAACTCCTGGTTCATAAGTCGGCACTCAACCACCGAGTCACGCTGGCCGGGCTCTATTTGGCTCCTGCAGCATTTGGATTTGTAACCCTTGTAGCATGTTCTATCTGGGGGCATCTAGTAAAGTACAAGAAACCCTGGGTTTTGGCTCAGTCCTTGGCATCTGAGTATAGGGTGCAGAGACCAGAAAGCATCAGTAGCAATAGGTTCCTATCTGGATATAATCACGAGAGATATAGAAACACACTTCGTACACCCCAAGTGCCAGCCCCTCAGATCCAGGCC